CGACGGTAGCAGACCGACATAGTCGGCATGCAATGTAACTTTAACTCCCACCAACGATTTTGTGCCATTTTCTCAGGTGTTTGGACTTTCTTGCGCGAAACTAACATTAAGAATATTCGGGATCGTTGGATACCTGCAAGTTATAACAAGGTCCCAAAGGAGGCAACGACACCTACCGGGCCTGCGCGGGCCATGCAGACACTAGACCCTTATTCGAAGACTTGCTTGAACGTTTTGACAACTCGAGGGAATCGCGTGTAGGTGTTCGTTTCGTCCTGGCAGTATTTTTCGTCAGAGAAAGGCTATATCCCTATGCCACAATGGCGTCAACGTTACCTAGTGGAAAAAGATGAGCCCATAAATCAAATACAAAACGGGATTATGTGTTTTGTACGCTGGCATGTCACTCCTCGACTCGAGCACAAGGTACTCCAAGACAGTCCTTCAACATAGTGCGCTGGCTGTTTAGTAAGCCACCGGCGACAAACCTGCGGCTGCACATAAGCCTTCGGCAAAATAAACAAGAGATTCGTGATGACAGCCACAGTTTGGCTTAGTCAAGATCTTCAAGTCTATGCAAACGTTCATCACCAGGGTCTGACGGTGCAAAATAAAACTATGCCCAACGACCACCTCTTCCTCCTCAGTTACTTTACCTGAGATTCGCACTTCAATTCCGGTCAGAATACAGTCCCTTCCTTATCAGCGCACAGAATACCGACACCAAAATCAACGCAACTTATACAGAACAAGGAATTTCTCTACAAGGCAAGAATGGCCAACCTCAGGCCCAAATTACTAAAAATGTGTAGACGGTCAACAGCAAATCAAGAAGAGCGGCAAAACGACAACAAATCAGCCATGGTCGCGACACGAAATGGTCAGGTCTGAGACCCCCGCATACCGTCAGAAAGCAACCAGCAAAGGCTAAAACTTGAGCATTTCAAATACCCTCACGTAAAGGCTCTACTACTGAAGTGGGAAGATGCACTAATACACCAAATGCCTACCCGATACCTAACAGCTCGTCAGAGATGCAAATGTGTCGTCTTTTCTAATACGAAACGTTAATCCCAACGCACCGCGCACATTTGGAAGTTCATCTTGCGGCAAAACTAAAAAATAGTTGTTACACCAGCGCCTCTTTTAGTGAATGGCTTGATGTATTCCATTTCGGATATGCTTTCATGATGAACAACAGCTCGTCAGCGACGCAAATCCACCTTACATCTCACAGAACTCTAACAGTCTTCCCAATGGCATCGTCTGTGGGCCGTGTACTGCACATCTCAACACGGTCGCCTTCATTTCGCATCGTATCTTCTGCCGTCCGCAAAGACAGCAGTACACACTGATGCATATAGATCTGATGCCTTACGCACACACTACATAGGTCCTCGACAACCAGCCGTGTCCCAATGGCAAGTCGGAAGGACCAGATAGGTGAACCCTGGATCCTGAAATTTGAGGTAGCTTGCTTCAATGTGCGTGCAATTTGAACGCAAGGATGGGGAACATTCACTGAAATGATCAAACAAGGTTTTACTCAAAACT